TCGATAAATCAAGATCAATCGGTGTAGATTCAGGTGTAATATTATGATGATTATCAATAGATGAGTCAGTTTCTGATGGTCGAAGTTTAGGTAAAATTCGTGCTTTTAATATAGCTGATCGCCAATGTGAAGGTTTTTCTTTTTCCATGAATTGTGAATTTGATCGTTCATTATTAAAATCAACACGACGATAACGTGGTGATGTTATATGCTCAGAACTCTGAATAGCTGGTAAAACAGAGAATTTATTTCGTGTTGATGGCGATGATCCAGATGAAACAATACTTTCTAAAAATAAACGAATGAATCATTTTATTAGTTTCTCTTGTTTTTGCATAAATATTTAACCTTTGTTTATAGAAGTTACTGTTGTTGCTGATTCTGAGGAATTTTCTCTTGGGGGAATAGTTTTTTTCGATTTAGTTGTACGCGTTTTTTTATGTCGTCGTCTTGATGATCGATGAGATAATTTAGTTTCTGTTGTTATTGATGGATCACGTTGTTCATTATCAACTTCGAGTTCTTTTTGAAATTGATATACATACCAAGTACATGTTGATACAAGTTGTTCAGCTTGTATTGTATCAATACCCATTTGGCATAAAGAATGTTTTAATAATTCATGTGTAAATATTGGTTCACGATTTTGTTTTGATGATGCTTTTAGCCACATTGCATAATCAATATATTTAGCTTTTAACGCTGAAACATTTTCCGATACATTCGTTGATTTTGTTGTTGCGGATGCCATTGAAGTAAAAGATAGATCAGGTGAATGTTGACAACGTTGTCGATTTGTTTTTGAAACAGCAGGTAAATGTAGACTAGATGAATTAGGTGATGATACTAATTGTTTTGAAGCAAACATGTTTTACCTTTTCAAATGAAAAAAGAAATTTAATATGGTGAATATTGTTGAAAAAAATCAGCTCAATTTATATCATACAGGATTGTTGTGACCAAATTATATTTTTTGTAATAGTCCTCATTGGCAAGCCGTAAAAGTACTCAAACATGAATGCTGCGTATTACTTTGTTTTTTTTTCTCTCTCTGCTTCTCTTTGTCTTTTTCACTTCAACTATCGGGAAAGACGATGGCGAATGGCTTGTGTTCGACTATGTACTCATCTTACCATCCAAATTTTGAGTAGGAATAATTTAAACTGTTTTTTTTTTCTACTGTTGCTATTCTTCATTTCGGCTCACAAATCAATCAATTCAGAAGAAGAAATAGAAGAGAGCGAAACAGAAAAAAAAATCTTGCTAAATAAACATTACACACGTATGTGCACTATATGCACATTATCAATGTACAGCGAGAAGATTGTGATCCGTTGTCAATGTAGAAGTTCAATAAGATGTAACATAAAAAAAAGAACACTTGACTTTACTGTTGTAGTAGTACTATTATACTAACGGATTTTTTGTATGAAAAGAAGGTTAGATTTAGGATGATTCGAAGAAAAATTGACTTTTAACGACCTATAGTTTGTGTTTTAGACATCAGTTAGATCGGCTATTTAATACTCACTTTCAATTAAACCATTTGTTCTTTTTATGACTGTTTAAAACAACTATTAAGTTAAGACAAAGCTTTCAAATTAAAAAAAGAAGTTCTTTCATAGTTATATGTATAGAGACAGGGAAAATGAGTAAGAGGATTAAAATGGTCTTTTTTTTAAAGTTTATATTATTGTTGGTTTATATTTAGAAATTTGTAAAATCGAAAAAAAATTAAGATTATGATAATAGTCATCGCTGATTGGTATTTTTCTTTTGACTATCGATTAATGAATCAGTTATTGAACTTCATGTCAACCAGAAGCGATGATTTAAAACTAGAAAAAAAGTCGTATTTCATTATGTTTGTCATTTTTTTTTATGTATTTCAAGGTAATTTAAGGGCTTTTATGGTCGATGACTAAAATGAAACAAATAATCTTGTAACAGTACTTCAAAAAAAAAAAAGAGAAATAGTATGATGATGCACTACAAAGAGAAGAAAAAAGGAGAGAAAAGCAACGATATAATACAAACGCATTGTAGAAATAGAATCCTTTCAAATAACTTTGGTCTAAAGACAAACAAGAAAAAGCATGCTTATTTCAAGATTGCAAAAACAACATCTTGATATAATATCAAATTATATTGTCCTTAACGAGCAAATGGAACCCTAATTGAGTATTCAAGTACAAACAATATCATGGACTTTGCACATGAACTCGATGATAGAGAGAAAAAAATCAGTTTTTTTATTATAGACATTTTTAAAAAACCCTTTATTTCACCATTAAAATGATAAATTGATAAAAGTAAAAGATGAACAAGAGAGACATACTGCTTACTAAATAAAAACAAGCAACAATAAATCGATAGATTTTCTTTCTAGCTTTAATATCTAATTCTAAATTATTTGTTATTCTACGATTATTAAATTTTCACTGCATTAATATCTTCAACAATTTGATATAGAGTACTAGATAATGTAATACGATGAATTTAATTTAATTGATATGTTTCCACGTGTCTTCACATTTGTGAACATAAGATTGAAATTTAAAGTCTGTTGAAGTCTATTTCAATTAGTTTATTAATTAAAATTATTCAAGTAAAAAATAATCTTAAGTCTCAAATTTTCATTTTTTCAATTTTTAAACAAATTGCTAGTAACAATTTAAATAAAACTTATACTTTCAGTTTTACTTTTAACTAACTGCTATTGATAAAGTTCGCTTAACATAATTGTTGTCACCAATGTCATGAACTTTTTTTGAACTTGACCACCCTATCTAATTGTCATTACAACATAGAATCAAACATAGAATAGACACAAACTAGTTGTGGTGCAAGAGCATATATATATATATATATATATATACAAAAATCAAAAATACAGAAAACGATGTTCAAAAAAAATGACGGTTTTGAAATATGAGTGTTGTCGAGCGTCTTCTCTTCACACACACACGTACGCCCATCCACTTAATTTACATCCGCAATAAATATTGAGTTACCATTACAAATTACGATAAGATTTCTTTGAAACTTCGCTTTGAATTTGATTAAAACTCTTCTTAGCTTAGTCGAAACCGATAACTCTTGCTCATGCATTATGAGTATTACTTTATCAATAACAAAAAAAAAAACAAATCAGCTAGTAAATATGTATCCAAAATACATAGTTTTCTTTCGCTAAACTCATCCTACATCCAGCTGATGATGATAATTTATTTTAAGACATAGATTATTTTCAAGACCAGTTATAATATACGTATAATGTTATCTCATATAATACTTGATAATTACTATTTATAGAAAAAGCATTATATCATGCTTTATACCATGTGCAACTTTCTACATATCACCTTAGATCTACTTCAATCAAAAGTTTGTTCGATTAAAAGCTCATGCCCTTTATATATGTCATCTCACCCTTTAAGATAAAAAAATCTGTATTAAGCATGATCTCATGTCATCAACAAACTGCAGTTAGTTTTCTTAGAACGAAAATCTTTGTCCAACAAAAAATACATATCCTCTATAAATTGCTGCAGCTCTACTGAAGATGCAGAGACTAGTTGTGCAAGGAAAAAGCCGCAATATTCTTGTAAAGTACCAGTTTTTTTCAAACTCGAGTCTCAAAAGTGAAGCTGCATCACAAGTTATGAAAGAAAATTTTGGATAATCAATTAATTATTTTCAATCTTAGAGAGCTTGGAATGCTGATCACATTTCACTTGTTAACATTGAGTGACAAACATATTATGTTGGTATTATATTGACTCTTTAGTGAATTTTATGTGGAACCTGGTGAATTCATAACCCTTCAATGGATCTGCCATAATATCGAATGTCTAATTGTCTGTGAGACTATATGTACGTAGGTGTAGTAGTAGCAGCTGCATCTGTATTGGCACCAATGACTCTGAAAATGTTATCGGAATGATTGAATTCAGCTTGATTTCATGAAACTTCTATAATTTTCTTTGTAGACTTTTATCTTCTATACGTTAACAAAGAGCAAAAAGACACTTGGAATATGTTAACTAATTACAACATATTATAGGTCGCACATTGCACATTAACGTAAACAGTGTCTGGAGTAATACATGCTCTATGGCTGTATAGTGTACTATTTAAGATATAAAAAAATCGTTAAGCTTTACAGTATTTGATAATTGATTTGCTACAGTTGTTTACATTATGTTTTTAGAATATTTTGAATATCTTCCGAGGTAATAAATTAGTAATTGATAGCATACACTAGGTGACTTTTTGTTAAGAAAATGCCTTTCAATCTTTAGAATCGAAGAAATCGATCACTTTGTTTCAACAGTCACATCAACACAAATAAAGTTGACTTGTGTTCATCTTACTCTTGTGTCAACACAATAAATAAAATTTGAGGAAAACAACACAGTCTTATGATTCTAAGCTTTTAGAGTGCTCTATATTGTTTTCGTCTGACGAGTTCGATTAATAATAGAAACTTTCAGCGAAACATTAGACATCATAATAGTTCAAGTACGTGGTAACAGCAAAATTTGACTCGACACTAGAATGAATGAAACGAATTTCTCAGCCGAACTGAATCGAAAAAAATGTTTCTATTCCAACAAGTTATTATATAGAATGGCGAAGAAGCAACCAAAAAAAGAATCATTCTAGTACTCATGGCACAATCCCTATTTATTCTTAATTAGTTCAGTCTCAGCTACATTACCGCGTTTATGATGAATTTTTGAAGCTGATTTCATTTTTTGTTTTAAATAAAGCACAAAGCGAGAAGTTCTCTATTTTATTTATAAATTCATTTAAAGATGAAATTTGTTGCTTGGTAGTATTCGTTTATATAAAAGGTGGTTTTATGATGCGATGTCTCTTTTCTGATGATCAAAATATGTTTGTAATCTTCTGATATCCTATTTCTTGGTTATTTGGTTAGATGCTAATTAAAAATGTTAGATCTACTAAATAAGTTAGTAAGTTATCAGTGATAGTTAATTGGGCAACTGCTGCTTGGCATAAGCACGCACAAGAATGGATCCACCAGGATTTGGATATGGTGGTGGTACATAGGGCTTCGTTTTCAGAGGAATATCCTCGCTTGGAATGACAGTTATTGAACACCTTGACATGAGTGTGGTTCGCGTTGTTGTCATTGAAGATCGATCGAAAGATTCCGATAGGTCAGAAACAGACGAATTTTCACGAAACCAGCTTTCTGTTGAAGTCAATGGTTTGTCGGTAACATACTGTCGCCGATATTGGTTTGAACCTTCATCAGACATTTGACTGTTGTTCATGCCTGAATAATGGATACGTCTTCTTTGGCATAAGTCACAACGGGCATTCTTTTCACCCCAGAATCGTTGCCGAAGTTTCACCCTAAAATCACATTGAATTTACATTTAAACAGTGAAATATATACGCATAGCTACCAAAATGGTCCAGGACAGCATCGACAAAAAATACATATAGCCAATGTACTTAAAAGCAGTAGGAGCGGAATGCCTAGACCCAAGCCTAGCCCAAGTCCTATATATAGATCACTTTGCGATTCGCCAATGGACGTGACAGTTGATGCTATGGAGCTCGTTGACATGGGCGTGGTTGCAGACGCAGTCGATATTGAACCAGTGGAAGTAATTGTCAATGTTGCTGTTGTTGTTGTTGTTGATGTTGTAGTTGTTGTGCAAAGTGAAGTTGAATTCACCACAATAAATGTCATACAATACTGTTTCGATTGTACCTGTTCACTAATCGATAGGCAAATAGACTCAACAAAGGTTTAGAACTTAAGAAGAACAAGTTTTACCTAGTATAAGCAATAGCACAGAATTTTTGCGATCCAATTTGATTAACTTGAGGCGTCCAAGTGACTGTAACATATACTACTGACGCATTAGTAGATAAATACATCATATTGCTAACTTGTATACCGGTTATCTTTGTGTATAAGATGATATCTGCCATATCAGTAATGTTCGGATTGCACAAATTAATGGCAAACAGACTAAAATTTTTTGTAACACCAACCGATACCTCAAAACAACCTGTTAAAGGAATTATGACGGGTGCATCCATACATATTGGTCTCGGCATAACATAAATTAGAAGTTGAATTGGAACTGAACTCATTGGAGTAACACTTGAGTCATTATAAAAATCTTCGACCTAGTGAAAGACAATTATAGTATGTATTCATGTAGAGTACAATATCATCGATGATAAAACTAAAACATATCCCTCCCTCTTCATTGCAAAGAATATTTCATTAACTAAATGTTCTCAGAAAGATAGATTTCACGTTCCAAACTATTCAATCAAGCAGACTATCAGATTAGTTTAAGGATAATTGGCGACAAACAAGTTGTTGTTATTCACGAGTAACGTGAAAACTATTCCTATTTACTTAATACATTTTATTTAATTTTCGAGTGAAAATTAAATAAAGATCTCTATATGTCTACAGACGGACATTTGTGTTGATTTTTTGATCAAATATCCAGAAATAAATAATAATTCAAGTTGACAAGTGACTGATATTTCATGTATACGAGAATTTGCTCGTCATTAATATGATATGCTTTATTCAGTATTTGCCTCTTCTACAGATACTTATTTGTCATAGAGTCATATGAGCTAGAGGACAGATACTTAAAATAAAACATCTTGAAAAATGACCCGTTCTTATCAATAAAGATTGTGTGTTATCACAAGACTTTATTTCATCCAATAGCATATGTATGTATATGGAATAGAACAACTTCAAGAAAGAAATTACCACTATAAAGTGAAATTTCTTGGTATATTCATATTGTCATAGAATATCAATGAAGCTGTAATACAATATTGTTATTAATCAACAAAACTTTGCAGTAAAGCAAATTTTCCAATTACATAACATTCACTTAATGTGATGGAGTAACATAATCTATGATAATAAATACTAGCGCAAAATAGAAAATAAACTATGCATGAGATAATATACGATCAATTACGACACTTTGTATAGATTACTTTCATTAAGTCAATTTTGTCTTACTTGAATAGCAACTGCGTACCAGGTGTTAGGTACAAGTCCAATAAAAGATATGGTGCAGTTGGATAGACTAGTAGCATTTGGAACTTGACTTGGATAACAAATGCCACCACATTCGTCAATTGCTTGCCGAGAAGAAAACGATGATGTTGTTGGTAATGTCAAGTTATTCATAAATCTGCGTCGCTTTAGCGTAGTTATTGCTGAATTAAAACATAAAAGTTGAACAAGAGAAGTACAGAAGATGACGTTGTATGTAAATAATCGCTGTTCCTGGCGTTTCAAGTGTGGTCGTTGCCAATGGACAGAAAGGACTTGTTTTGCATCGAATGCCACTACATGTAGTTCCTGCACAAGACGGACAAGCGCAGCTGCAAAAGTACTGACATGAACTACTTGCATTGCATGAACTAGTACAGTGTGATCGTTTCACTCTATGGTAAACAACTTTTTCCTTCGCAATTACTGATTTATGTACAGGAAATACTGATCTATCGTATAAGTTGTCATCTGATTGTCGTCGTCTACGTACTCCTGGTGTATCCATGGACCATCGGCAACGTACACTATCGCCTGAGTTTACGTCCGATACAGGTATGTAAATTTCAGTTGTTTGGTTCACAATCACGTACTGCGGAGAGATAACCTGCGCTTCAGGTGGCGTATTGATGAAGCCATCAGGTCGCATTCGAAGATCAATAAAACTTACTATGGACCAGTAAAGACCAGTAATCCGCGGACTGTTCATTCCTAGCCACGCACTTCCTTGGTATGCTAGGTAAAAGTGAGCATCTGCTGCAAGGGTAACATTGACTGCTCGTTGACTTGCCATCATACTCATCGTCAAGCTAGTTGAAGTACAATCAGTTAAAATACTGATTGGTGCAGTGGAGTAATTGCCATCAGTTGCACAATCGGCAATGCATGTTAAATTAGCATTTGTATTACTTCGGCCACTAGTTGATATCGGTACACTGTTTGCACAAGTGATAGTAGGGTAACTCCATGAATAAGATTGAATAATACTGATTTGAACTGTGCTTGAATTGTCAAACGGATTTACTGGCTCCCATCTGATTGAACCACCGTTGAAATGCCCACCATCACTGATGAATATACATATTGATATTAAAAGAAACCAAACGATCATTTTAATGCTGTTACATTGTACATATGAACATCTGAACATCTGTAAACGTATTCAAATGCTTATTATTCCTAGGTTTATTCGACAGGGTACTGTTAAGAATGTAAAAAAACATCAAGCAGCGTCTTTTGCAGTAATAAGAAATATTGATAACAAATTTACAAAACCTTTTCTTACCAACGTACATATATCCCAGAAATTGATCAACTGTAATGGAACTTATAATTTCTAGCACTATCATTCACTGAAAGCAGATGTTATAAATAGTTATGTTTGTGCGACTGTGAGTATCAGATACGATTGAGAGAATTTCTCTTGATCTACATCTTCCCTACATCAACACTAATCTTAGAATGTCCTTCTCGTTACACAACTCATTTTCACTCTAGAACTGAGCTTTGTTCCTAGTCGTCTTTTGGGATTGCAGATTGATTTGTATTTGAGGTTTTAGACCTCAAAAACGACTTCCCAATTCAAAATACTAGTACTCAATTGGTCTCATTTCTGGGAAGAAAAGCTTGTCTTGAAATCTTGACTTTCATGAAAATGACTTTTTTGACGAAAATATCCTAGTCAATGAGAAGTATGAAAAAAGTGAAGTTTTTATCAGAAATACATGTTTACTACTAGTTCTGGTATCATTCAAAGTTTCATCTTGATGCCGCGCTCCAATATTGACATATTGGTTGCCAAAAATGTTTGAAACGGTGATTTTTAGAATCCATGACTGGTGCACTCCAGACAATTGCTCCCGCGATACTTGCTCCCCACTGATAGTTGCTCTCCAGCGACAGTTGCTCTCCGGACACTTGCTCTCCGATGACACTTGCTCCCCAATGAGACTTGCTCTTCAACCATAGTGGATAGAAAGGTGTTGGGGTGTTTGCGGATGAGGGAGTTGGTTGGGTGCGGGTGAAGGTAACTCTTTTCCATGAGTTGCCGAATTCGAGTTCGAATGTAAATGGAAACCCAATCGCAAGTTATCAATTCGAAAATAACTGGTGAAAGTTAGGAATAGATTTAGTTTTAGTTTCAGATGAGTGTAATTCAAACAAACGGAGGAAAAGGCGGGGAGGGGGGTCAAGTGTGGGCGAGGGAGAGAGCGCATTTCTCTCTCGGTGAGGGAAGTGGGCTAGGTGAGAGAGCATCTCTCTAGGTGTGGGGGGGGGGGGCACGTTTAATTGTGGCGGGAGGGGTCGGAATATTTGTTTTTCGTTTATCTGAGAGTTAATCTAGAACTAAATCTATTCCTAGAAATATCCAGTAGTTATCTTTTTTCGGATTTTCGTTTATAGTCGAACTCGAATTAGGCAGCTACTCCCCATACGCCACGCTCACACTGTACACCCACACCCTTTTATTCACTATTGTTGAAGAGCAAGCCTCATTGGGGAGCAAATGTAATCCGAGAGCAAGTGTCCGGAGAGCAACTGTCGCCGGGAAGCAACTGTCAGTGGGGAGCATGTGTCTGAAGAGCAACTATCAGTGGGGAGCAAGTGTCGCGAAAGCAAATGCCTGGGGAGCAAGTGTCGTGGGAGCAATTGTCTGGATTGCACCAGTCGTGCTACCGATTTTTGCTCCTTTCATGAGATCGCTCGAATACAAAAAG